TTGAGCATTCTCACACTTTTTTCCTACTTGGTTTGTTTTGGTCCCAGAGTCCGATGAGTGGGCCTTTTATTCCTGCTGCTCCTGTCAAAACTGCCTTGCCTGCTGGCCCCCAGCCCCCGCCCCAGCCCCAGCCCCAGCCCCCACTCCCAAGTCAACCCCAGGCACAGAAGAGGCGATTCACTGAGGAGCTACCAGATGAACGAGAATCTGGACTTCTTGGATACCAGGTTAAATAAAATACCCTGTCTTACTTCCCTCATCTTATCCTACTATATTCTCCCTTTAAAGAAAGATAAATTGATATCTGTCTCCCAGTACTAGGGTTTCTGCTTTCTGGAATACATTTAGATCAGATTTTTATCCTTGGGGTTTAATTTAAAGCAAGAGTGATTCCCTTTGGGTGGGTTTTGTCTTTGGAGGCAGTGTGAGAAGAGATACAAAGCTCTCCACCTAGAGAGAGGTCACCTATGAGCCGCACCTATGAGCCGTTTTGTAGAATTCTGCACTTACTCTTTATACAGCAGATTTTTGAAAGTCTGATAGCTTTTAGTGAGGTGTATAGGGAAGAACTGTCATTCTACCAATATGTGGTTTGTGTTTAAAACCTTGGCTTCCAATTTACTATTTTTTTCCCTCCTAAAGAGGGTAATATTCTCCAATACCTACATCCCTAAAAGAAAGACAGCCAGAAATGCAGTGACTCTGTGCTTGTACATAACTATAAATAGTTATTTCACATGAGGTTTTTAAGATTATTAAAATACACATTTTGGTGCAATTTTGTTTTATTGGGAGAAGCACCTTTACTTTTTGCCAGAATCCTTGAAGCATTCTCTGAAACAAACTTTGGAGCATTTTTGTAGTTTATAAACTAGGTTTATACAAACCAATTAAGTCGTGGATAGTTGGAAACAGATAGACATAGCATAATGAATCGCAGCATTCCTAACCAAGTGCTCCAGAGAAAAATAATCTCTACTCTGACAATAGTTACATTCCAGATCCCAAAAAGCCAAGTAGTGCAATTTATCAGAAAGATGAGGCACTTGACAGTTACATTAAGGAGCTAAAGTCAATACAGCAGTTGTAGATTTGCTAATGCCACTGTATTTTTCTGCTCATAGCATGGACCCATTCATATGACTAATTTAGGTACAGGCTTCTCCAGTCAGAATGAGATTGAAGGTGCAGGATCGAAGCCGGCAAGTTCCTCAGGCAAAGAGCGAGAGAGGGACAGGTAAGTTAGTTGGAACCTAATTGTATGGATATATTCATGTCTTTTTTTTTTTTAATTGCACCATTAGTGTGAATAGTGATCGTTGCTATGAGCTTCTGTGTTCTTAAACTAAAATGAAATCATTTGGCTCAAACAAGCTCCTGTTTGTTGTAATTGATGTAGTAATGGAAAATAGAATGATGTGACTTACACAGTCTTAGAAGCAGTTATACTCAGCCTTGAATAATTTAGTACTTGATTATTCAGGTATCTTTCTTTACTTTCATTGTCTGCATCTTGGCCATTTTCTTAAGGAAAGACAATAAAAGAAGTGTTAGACAGTCAAGCCACTTTTGCGGCTTAGAATCAAAAACTATCACGGGTGGAGGTACGTGAATGGGAGTCCAGCCTGCCATCCAGTGCTTGAATTCTCCTTTCCTGTATTAGCCTTTGTAAGATGGATCTGACAGTTTGTTCTATCTTCATTCTGTTAAGCCTGTTTTGTTCATACTTACCTATTTATTCATTCTGTTATGTCCTTATAATCCTACAACTTGGTAAGTTTGACACGTAGCGGGTCAGGTGGAAAGGGTTGAAATTAATGGTTAAAGTGAACTTGAAAGATTATCTGCAGACTGTATTGTTACTCCACTTTTTATCTACTGAAGATGTTGAAACTGGTTGAATTTGTTTGAAAGAGTATTTAATTTTTCTTTTAACAGGCAGTTGATGCCTCCACCAGCCTTTCCAGTGACTGGAATAAAAACAGAGTCTGATGAAAGGAATGGGTCTGGGACTTTAACAGGGAGCCATGGTGAGTAAGGTATAGCTGGGGGAATAAGGGAGTGGCTAAGACTGATCTTAAACTATTAGTTTTCTAACCTGATGTTCATTCAGGTGTGACTCATTCAGGTGTTAACTCCAACCTCTGTAATCTACTGGCTAATGAGAATACTTTTTTTTTTTTACTTATAAGGACAGCGTATAGTTACACAGCCTTTTGTTTTCAACCGACATGTGTCTAGAAAAGAGTCAGTCGACTTACATTTTATACATAGCATCAGTGACAATAAAACCCTAGGAAAAACTAATGAGTGGTAGGTCCTTTCAAAATTTTGTTGCTTTTGGTTTCTAAGTACCTGGAGGTAATCTAATACAGACCTAAGGATTGATTTTTCTTTCTGTTAGGAGCTGAGCCGCATTTCCCCTCATAGCTCTCTTGGTTGGGAATGGTTAGCCAATGGCTGTTTTAAAAAATGTTGCTTCTTAGTGTCCCAGAACTCTAAATCCTGGAGAGGTCCAGAAATGGGATCATTTTTGTTCTTTGCCTGTAGTCATAATAAAAATGAACAGAAGAAAATATATTTTTCTCTTCTTAACTTCTTTTCTTTTAACTCTTTAAAAGGTGAAATATTAGCCTCCAGAGACTCACTTGCTAACTTTCCGTTTTTTCTTTTTCTTTTTTTTTTTTTGTGTGTTTCTTTTTCTTTCTCTGTTTTCTTACATGGTTCTGGTGGATTCACATTTGCTGATGCTGGTGCTGTTTTTCGTGTGATCGTCAACGTTTTTGGGTGACCACTGACCCTGTGACCTCAAAATGGTGTCCAACTAACCACTTATAATTAACATCTTTTTTTTAATTAACGAATTTATGGTATTATCTTTTTTTTTTTCTTTTTGGTGGGGAATGGGGTTGGGGTTGTTTTTCTCTATTCTAGATTATCCAGTCAAGAAGATGAAAACTACAGAGAAGGGATTTGGCTTGGTGGCTTATGCTGCAGATTCATCTGACGAAGAGGAGGAACACGGAGGTCATAAAAATGCAAGTAGTTTTCCACAGGGCTGGAGTTTGGGATATCAGTACCCTTCATCACAACCACGAGCTAAACAACAGATGCCATTCTGGATGGCTCCATAGGCAACAGTGGAACAGAGTTTTGAGCCTCAGTGACTCTTTAGCAATAATGCATGCATCTGATTTAACAAGACTTTGGGACCTGTGCTGGGAACCATCTGGGACCTTTGCAGAAGGCAGAGATGAGTGTCCCCTTTCTTAAAGGGGTTCCATTCTTTTTAAAACATCCTGATTTCTGCAGTGGCATAGCATCTGTTAAAATTTACTTAGAATCACAAATTTGTCTCAGAAGCTTTTTAACAGTTGGTGAAATGTGCTTGTTCAACAGGGTCATTCCAATATACACTTGACCTGGTCCAGCCGTTTCCAAATGAATATCCCCTAATCTGACGTGAAGCAAGTTTTATTTGTATTTTACTACTGTTCGGTCAATTTTGATAATAACTGGTTACAAACAAGGCCTTACTACTTATTAGTGGGGAAATGATTTTAAGACCATCCTTTCCTTTCAGTACTTAAATCTAAGAACCTCCTCATCACTACTTCATCTTTGGATTCTTTGTTTTGGGAAATGCAGTTTTACTAATTTGAAACTGTTGGATATAGCTGGATCCTGGGAAGTTGAAGGGTTTTTTTCACTGGGATGATCTAAAGCTGGCAACTTCGGGCACTCTTGTCTCAGATAGCCATTGCTGTTTTTATTGCCTGTCTAAGCTCCTTGTCTTCAACTGGGTCAGAGAAAACTACTTGATCAAAAGCTGGTCAGGATTCATAGAAATGAAACACAGTGGTCTGTCTCTCTCAGAACTGGTTGCAGCTAAAATAGAGAGATTTGACTGCTTGCAGTAGAATGGTGGACTTAGTGACTGAAATTGCAACTTGTCCTTTTTCTTGGCATTACAGGTTTTGCCAAAAGAACTTTTTTGTATCAGATATTGATGTGTGAAAGTGAAGGAGCTAGTCTGCTGAACCAGGAGTAGTTTGAGATACTGAACTGTCATTTTTGCACATTTGAATACTTTGCAGGCTGGCTTTGTATAAACGTATCCTCTGGTTTCCTATATGTTGTAAATATTTAGACCATAATTTCATTATAAATAAATATATAAATATTCTGCTTGTGGTTTCTCTTTTCTTTCTTCCACAACCCATCCATACACTAAAATTCATAAACCTTTTTACTCATAGTGATAACCCCATCAGAAAACTACATACGTGGACCCAAATGTTTGCATATGGTTCCAAGAATTTTATGACTTTCCAAAATAAACCCTTAAAAGTCCAAATGAAAATGTAAAGGATTCTTATGATGGATATTTTCCATTTTCATATTCTAGCCCTCCTTTATTGAACATGATTAATGAGACTGAGTGAATGAAACATTTTTAAAGGAAATATAAATTATTCTTGGAAAAACATGCTTAAAAAGGAAGAAGTTTCAACAGAATAATTTCCCAGTTGTAAAGTTCCTTTCAAGTGCCTGTGTGTGCTTCCTAAAGTAGAATTGAATATAGTAATAGTCCTTCATTTATTGCTGTATTTAATTCAGTTTTAATCCACCTGCTGGAGGTTAGTACATTTGTCTAAAACAAAAAACTAATCTTTATGTATCTCATTTACATATGTTTAAAATGTGTGCAGAACTATAGTTAGTCTGACCAGAACATTGAGAATTTCTGATCTTTGATTACATGTGGCCAAATTTGTCTTTTTGTCTAAAACAGCCATAAGTTCTTATTTTAGAGGCCCCCTGTGTGGCCATTTTCACATCCTTCCTTGACTTTTCGTGTAAATAGATGTATTAACGCCTTTACGTGCATTTCCCAGTCTGGTACTCTCCCACAGGGCCCTTTAGAGCGGAACTGGGTTTGAGGACCTGGAGGGGAGATGGCCCTCCCCGGAGGGGGCAGGGCCAGTCGCGGGCGTCACGGGGCGGCCCCGCCCCTCCAGCCGAGACGCGGGCTCCGGTGGCGCCATCTTCCCCGGCTACGGGAGGGGTCACAGGTCAGTGCCACAACCTCGCCGCGAGCGAGGAGGACGAAGTGGGTGATCAGACCCGGCCGTGGCCTTCACGTCCCAAGGGGTACGAGCAGCGGGGAGTTGGCTGGGGAAGCGGAAGGGTGGGAGGCCTGATGGCGGGCCGGGGATGCATCTGGGGGAGGGGAGCTGTCTTCGAGGGGAATGGGGAGGGGGCGGAACCGCCGGGTACCGCGGGCGTGAGAGGACCCCTGCGGCCTAAGGGGCCGTGTTCCTTTGGTTCCCAAACCTCAGATTTCTCACTGGGCTCCTTCCTGCGGTGCCGCTGCCTCAGTCTGAAAAGAAATCCTAAATTTCTTTGTCTCTTTTTATTCTTTCTGGGAAAAGTAATAGTTCGGAAAACCTGTGATATGTCATAGGACTGAGCTGTCCTGGAGAAAAGGTGAGGATGTGGCGTTTCTTAGGGACACCAGAAAGGGAGAAGGAGTAATAGGCCAGAGTATGGGAAGGTAGGGCATTGGCTCTAGGACTGTCGTCACGGTGTCAACATCCTGGATTAAATATCTTCATCTTTCTTTCCAGGTGCTTTTTCCACGGGCCAGCCCAGGGTTCTCCTAGAGGACAATGGATTCAGGAACTCGCCCAGTTGGTAGCTGTAGCAGCCCTGCAGGGCTGTCGCGGGAATACAAACTAGTGATGCTGGGTGCTGGCGGTGTAGGGAAAAGTGGTAGGTGACATTTTTCTTCCGTTTTACAAAACATGAAAATGAAAAGTGCTTACAACGAATGTCCTCCACCCAAACCAAGTGGGAGGCTGGCTATCATGCAATGTTGATACTTACAGTTCTTTCTCTGGGTCATCTTTGTGTGGATCCTAACTTTCATTTCTTCTTTTGAAGCCATGACCATGCAGTTCATCAGCCATCGATTCCCAGAAGATCACGACCCCACCATTGGTAAGTCAGATTATCACTTAGGTTTTCCAAATAAACCCCCTATAAGTGTCTTGATGACAATTTTTGAAACAATTTTAGACCATTTATATTTTGAGTCTTTTTGATGTCTAATTCAAATTTATTTAAAAGGGTATGGTGGCAGTTGGTAAACAAATGAATTTTTTTTCTAACTTAACTCTGTATGTACATAACCCATCTTAGTCTGTCCTTTACTGAACACTAATGGGACACTTTCTTTGTTATATTTTTATAGTTGGTGTACTGTATTGCCAGATTAAAGGAAAAGTTTAGAAGCCACTTAACAGAAGCCTTTGCTATCACTTCTCTAAGGGTCTGACTTGAGACTGTCTCTGTAACTGTGAGTCAGCTGGTTTGAACTTCCACAAAAGGAAGCAGAAAAACAAGTAGAGCCAGCCTGCTGAACTCTTACATCCCAGACATGCAGAGCCTGGACTTGTTCCACCAGAAGCCCATCATTTACTTCCGTATACCTCAGGTTCATTACATAGCAAGCTCTTCCTTCAGGTCTCTTATAATCCTTAATGCTCTATTGTTAGTAGAACACTGTTGGAGAGTAAAAAGTAATTTTGTTTTGGTTTTTTTAATTGCTGTTCTCCATAAACACTAAGAAAGTTACTGTCATTCCTGAGCCATAAGGATGCAGGTTTGACTTTAAGGAATTATCTCTCAGGATAAAAGAAAAATGGTCATGGGGATAGGGGAGGGCACAGGAGGTCTGCTGTATTACTTGTATTTTCAGAATGTGATACGTTGTCATGATATTGGGTCTCTAAGAAAAATTTCTATTGGGTGAGGCCTCTGCAGCTCTCTTTTCCACAGAGCCAATGAGTGTTCTGTGTTAATCCAGCTTTGGATGTGGTCATTTTATATAGTAGCTGCTTCTGTGGCTTGGGGAAGATAGAAACAGTTCTTATTTTTTCCATGCTATATTAATTCAGAATATTGTTTAGAAATTCACACTATAGTGAGAGTTCTAGGAATAAAATTAATTTAGGAATTCCAGGAATATCTTTTCCTTTCTTTAAAGTAAAACTCATATACTTGAGCTCTGAGTTATTTTTTTTCATCAGGTGATTTTCTTTTCCCCAGTCAGCTACTCTCTTGACAATATTATCTGATTGAAGAGCAAATACTTTTATCTCTGGAGTTCCTATTATGTACCAAGCATGATGGTAGGCCCTGGAGGTACAGCACTGAGCAGAAAGATATGGTGTCTGCTCTCATTGAGCTTACACTTCAGTGCATTTTGTTTCCAACTTTGGCTACTAACTCTAAGAAGAAAAACTTTGTATTGTAACCAGTACACACGTTAGTATATGTGTGTGTGTGTGTATTTGCACATATGTATGTGTAATTAAAATACCATGAACCTATATTTACCTCACTACATGTGTTGCACTCTCATATTTTCTCTTTGATTTTAGATTTCTGCTTGTTTATTTTAATGCTGGCCCTAACCCATTAAATTCATCCACAACTCACTAATACTAATGGATCATACATGACTTAGTTTGAGATACATTGATTTAGTAGGCTCTTCAACTTTGAGGAAGAGTTCAAGAAAAAAATGTTTAAAGGAAATACATCAGGCTATAAGCAGCAATTGTTTGATGGAAATACTGAGTGGGTTTTTCTCTTTTTTTTTTATTTTACTGTGTTTTCCAAGGTTATCATAATATGTATAAAGAAATTTGCTTTCATAAAGGAGAAATTATGACAATATGGATTCTTTAGAAAATAGTAAACTTTTTTTTTTTCCTATAGTGTTAAAAATGAGGAGGAACTATATAGCATATGGTTAAGGACACATAGCTTTTGAGTCAAGTAGCCCTTGGTTTTGATTCTGGTTATATCATTAATACACTGTGTAATATGGAGAATACATTTAATGTTTTAGAGTTTAATTTTCTTTATCTGTAAAAAGGAGATAATAATACCTACCTCATTGGATTATTGTCTCTATTGAATGAGTTAATATATGTAAATCACTTAGGATAATGCTAATAACTTTAATAAATGATAAAGTTACTTTTCTGGAGTAACATTTTTTAAAGACAATCTCTCAGTTCGTTTTTAGCTTAGAATAGTAGGTGAAGTCTTATAAGTGTAAGCTCCGAATAAACTTACATCATAGCTTATGTGGAAAAAAAAAACTAGTTGAACACACATCCTGCATAACTCAATGATTTTAGCAGCTTCCTGAAGACATTAGGGCACTTAAAGAACTTATGTGTAAACTACTTCTCCATAAGATGAATTTCAAAATAAGATTGCATATTCCTGCACTTACGGGTTTATAGTACACCTTTCTTCCCTCCTGTAGAAGATGCTTATAAAATCCGGATCCGTATTGATGATGAGCCTGCCAATCTGGACATTTTGGATACAGCTGGACAGGTATTAAATCCCAAAATGCTATGAGTAAAAGCCTTTTTGCTCTAGTAAGGGGGAGGGGATGACTTACACAGAGAAGATCACTGGTTCATCTCTTTTAATTTTTCATGCACTCTGACTCAGGATAGCAGGTAACCAACATGTCTCTTCTTTAATCTGAAATAAGTAGCTAATGTGCATATAGTTCTAGGTTGCATCAATACATTAATAATTCTTGTTTCCCTCTAGGCAGAGTTTACAGCCATGCGGGATCAGTATATGAGGGCAGGAGAAGGGTTTATCATCTGTTATTCTATCACCGATCGTCGAAGTTTCCATGAAGTTCGGGAGTTTAAACAGCTTATTTATCGAGTTCGACGCACTGATGATACCCCTGTGGTTCTTGTGGGAAATAAGTCTGACCTAAAGCAGCTAAGACAGGTGAGGATAGAGTGGAAAATGCGATGTATAATCTTATGAGATTAGTCATTTTGTTTCTCTGTTTATAGATTTCTTTGCCTTAAAATGAAAATTTTAAGTTAGCTTCTCCCATGGTTACCAAAGGGGAAAGGGGGAGTATAAACTAGGATACAGTATATACATTCTACTCCATATAACATAGATAAACAGGACCTACTGTATAGCACACGGAACTATATTCAATATCTTGTAATAACCTATAATGTGAAAGAATCTGAAAAGTAGTAGTTATGTATATAACTGAATCACTTTGCTGTACACCTGAAACATTGTAATCAACTATACTTTAATAAATGAAAACAAATAAATAAAAAAAAAATAAAATTAGCTTCTCCCTAACCTTGAAAACTCCCTATCTATCCTGATTTGCTGTTTTCTTGGATAAAATCTGGATTTTTAGGAATCATTTTACAGGACAAAATCTACAAGGTAATAATCAGATGACAAATAGAATACACATTAAGTGAAGGATCATAGAATGTTCATTTCCTAAAACCTCAGAAATAAATCTGTTTATGCTGCAAAAGGAGTAACTTAGGATAGACTTTAAGATCTGTTTCCTGATGGTGAGGATTATGAGTCCTGGAAAGAGAGTAAGAAGTTTTAGAAAATTTTAGAATAGGTGATACCCTTCAAGTTAGCAGTGCTGTTTAAAATTTTTCGCTGTTTGGTGTAGAGTTGAAAGAGTAATGAAACCGGCACATTGATCACTATTAGGGAAAGCAATGAATGGTACAAACTTTTCAGAAGTAGTTTGACAGTAGTTAGGTTCATAGTGCTTCTCAATTAATTCCTGTTTAAAATGTCTATTCAGGGATTTACATATAAAATGTTCATTGCCAAGCTATTTAGGGTAGCAAAAAATTAGAAGAAGTCTAAATGTCCAGAAGTAGGAGAAATTATGATATATGTAATAATTGGATATATTGATTTGGGGTTGCTTATAGTTTTCAGTATTGTAGTTTAAATACGTCTCTTTGCCTTATGACTTACTTTCTTGAAATTAAAAGTATGAAGAAAATTAAGATTGTATATTTGATGTCTATAGCTATTCCCTGTTCCAAAAAATTATCTTTAATATAAACTGGAAATGGAATCACATAATTTGAAGGCAGAAGGAGTCTCCCAGTGTTACAAGTAGCACTGTACTCTGCTTGGACACCTCCAGAGTGTAGCTCTCTCTTCCTGTTAAGAAAGCCCCTTCACTTGTTCGGGCAGTTGTAATTGTTTTCCACAGTTTGCACTGTAAATTTTCTCCTGTTTACATTTTTAAAGGTCACCAAGGAAGAAGGATTGGCTTTGGCCCGAGAATTCAGCTGCCCCTTTTTTGAGACATCTGCTGCATACCGCTACTACATTGATGATGTATTCCACGCCCTTGTGCGGGAGATACGAAGGAAAGAAAAGGAGGCGGTACTGGCCATGGAGAAAAAGTCTAAGCCCAAAAACAGTGTCTGGAAGAGGCTAAAATCACCATTCCGGAAGAAGAAAGATTCAGTAACTTGAAGGGAAGGTGTGATGTGTCCATCTGAACTGCAGTGCTTAACCAGAGCAGTCCAGTGACCTGCATAGTGAGCATGGTGCTTGTTCTTTCTCCTGTTATGACCATTATTTTAAAAGTAACTGATGATGGGGACATGCCCACTAGGAGTTTTCAATGATGTGGTATTTAAAATATTGTCTCTTAGCTAATTCTGATGTTATTAACCCAGTGGAGCACTGTCTACTTTTAAATTGTCACATTAGAACTTGATCTCAACATTTGGGGTTCTGTTGCTGGTATTAATTAATGGAAATTTTTTATACCCAGGGGAATATGTATACCGTGTATGTTTGACTCAGCTCACAAGAGGAATTTTTTGCCGTGCACTATTCTGTGTTCTCTTTCAACTTCAATTTCCTGGGACTGTCCCAGGGAAGGACCTCAATCTTTTCTATTCGTGCTGTGCTTCCTGGAGACAGAACAGAAATCATATAGGGCAATTAATTCTAAAGACATCAGTGCTAAAGTTTAGCAAATAGCTATGGAACTGACTCCTGTTGCAGATTATGGAGTGATGAGATTGGGGAAATCAGGCTGTGTTTTTGCAGGAACTTGACTAGCAACAGGTAGGATCAGAACAGTATTCTCAGAAGGAGCCTGTCTTTCGTAAGAAGCACACATCTGACCCAAATGCACTAGGACGGATGAGAACAGACAGAAGCATATAAAACGTAATGAAGTTTTCTCCTGTGAGGTTATTTTACTCTTCCTTTCAGGGTTTTGCCTTTCTTTACTTTCCAAGGTAAACTCTTTTGAGAACCATTACTGGATTACTAAACTCGTATTTAATCTAAATCCTTGGTTGGGACAGCCATTGCCTTAGACAGGTTTATTTTTTCCCTAGAGATGCACACACCATACATTGACATTAATTGCTTCCTAGTGCTTTCCCTTAGCTTCCCTGTGCTCTCTAGAAGAGCCTGGCCTGGCAAAATGTTTTGTAGGCCCTTTGTCATCAGACTGACTGCATTTTCCACACAGAAGAGACATCAAGAGTTAGTAAAACTGTGTACGTGCCTCCTTGACGTAGACAATCACCAGACTCAGAGTTCTGAGAAAGCCTGCGGCATTTCTGTTTAATGAGCCAGTCTCGAAGCTTTAAAATTCCCATATGTTGAGTTTCTCATTGAAGATATTTACAAGAACCTTGCTAAGTTCACCTCAGGGTTGCCTGAGCCTTGACAAAGCTTAGCGTAAGAGCATACCACTTTGGTAACTATGCATAGTTAAGAAACTTTCGTCCTGGGAAGAATCAGCTTTAAATATTGGTGGTGAGTTCTTTCTTTTAGAATCAGGGTTATTTTGAGACCTGAACTTGTTACGTGTGGAGATTAAGGGCAAAAGTGCTAAGAGTAATACAGCATATGCTGAACATTAAATGTCACTGAAGCAGTGTTTGTGACCACTTTAAACTCTAAGAACATGACTTTTTGTAGCACTTCTTAAAAAGTGCACAGCTCAACTTACTGTTTTCCATTTTTATTACAGACAGAAGGACAGGGTTGTTGTGTTTTCCTTCCAGTCAGTGGTATATGGTATTCTGGGCTTAAAAGTGATGGTTATAACTTTTTTAGCTGAGTAGTGGTCCCTTTTGAAACTCTGGGAAATGTTTTTTCTACCAAGTAAATTATGTTTTATGGTACTCAACCCATCCAAAAGTGAAAGATGCAGAATTTGAATCTATGTAGGACTAAAATCTTACAGGAACCATAGCACTTGGAGAAGCATGAAGTTAGAAAAGAAATACAGTGCAATTCTACTTTAACAGTATTTCACCACATTTAAGCCAGCTTAGAGCCTATTAGGTTTAATGCCTTAGCTTCTCATTACTAATGACCTGAGGAATTGTTATTAGCATCAAGCAAGAAGTTGACAGCTCTGTAATAATTCAGGATAGTCAAGGCAGCAGAGAACATTGCCAGAAAGAAAGATCTGTAAGACAGGGGGGAATTTGTATTATATATAAGAAAAATAACAAATTAATGTCTTTAAGACTATCACTGTCATATATTTGATCATTGGATTAATTGGCCAAAAATTAGTATTGAGAATTCTATTCATGGTGCTAAATAGTTTGAGGGGTATAATATGTGTAAGTCATAGCTTTATTTTTAGTGATCATATAGTGTACATAATTTATAAGCTCTAAATAGTCAGCTTTATCTAATTTGAGGGCATTAAAATCAATTACTGCCTGGAACTTTGAAGAGAGAAAAATTCAGGGACAAGTTGAAAAGCACTGGAACTGTTCATGTCCATACCAGATTGGTAAATTACAAAATTTAGAAGCTGGTGTCTAGGATTAACTGTTAAGAATTCAAAAGGGGATACATGTTTTAACTTTGTGACATATTAGCAAGAATTGGCCTACTGTGATGTTTGGGGAGGAGGGCAAGAGAAAAATTTTTTCACTTATGCACTTGTATATGAAGACAGTTTGTATGACACAATACAAAACTTTTAAACAATTTACTGGGCTTCTCCTTTACTTAACCTATGCGTGGGTAGAAATGTTTGGAATCATTGCACAAGGGTCATTTTAAGAAAAAATTTAATACCATGTGATTTTATATTCTGGAAAATACTGATTCAGAAAATTTTGAGCGCCCACCCTATACAGAACACCTGTGTCAGGTACTCGGGAGCATGCCACGGAATGCTCCTTCACGTGAAGACATTACCTCAGTGCTTGCCCAGGTCAAGGGGTGGGGAGGAGGCGGAGGTGCTGTGGTCCAACTGCTGAAGAGTCTCCCTGTGGCAGTCAGTGGGGTCCCAACTCCAGGCACTGCCTGGCTCTGGTTCCTGACCCCAAGCACTGCCCACTATCCCAGAGCCAGCAGACACCAGTAGACCAGTGACACTTGGTGTTTGGTCAGGCCATTGGGAGGGCTTGAAGTCCAGAGTGAACTGCTGCCTGAGGGACCCTGCTGAGACCCTAGCATCTCAGGAGAGAGGCAGACTGACAAGGCAAAATTTTAAAAAGAGATTACCTGTCAGGTGGGCAGACAGGAAAAACATATATTGAAAATGGCAGCACAGTTGCCACCTGATCAAGGATTAATTAAAGTTGTTTCAAGTATGTATACTAAATGTGAGAGAATGAGGAATCACTCTTTTAATGTTCAGGTTATTGCTTTTATCTCCACTATTCAAATGGGCATCAGTGTTGGTACAGAGGACTTAGCTTTGACATAAAAGGAATGTACTTTTGTGTCTCATTATTTAACATTTATTGAGTAGGTCAGTAGCTGTCAGTGTGGTCCACTGTTGAAACAGGGGTAATGGAGGGGGAGCATTCCATGTTCTGCTGTAACCTGTTAGGATGGGCAATGGAATTACAGTCAGAGTATTTATGGATAGTTATGTGCACTAAGCCCTGTTTGCTTTAAGAGCTGTGAGGGATTGAAGGGATGTAAAATATCCCTGTTCTGGAGCTTTGATAAAATTTGCATATCCAAAACAACTAGAGGTTAATCTTAAAGTAGTAGATTACATGCTTCAAACTGCAAATGTTACAGAAATTCAGAAAAGGAAGGAATTAGCATGGCCGGGGCAGATCAGTGGAGCTGCCTCTGAGAGTGAATGGGTAAGGAGGCAAACTGAGGAGAGATTGAATTCAATCTGAATGGAATAATAAAGAGGTAAGAGCAAAGAGATGTAATTTCTGAAATTCCTCATTCCTAATATTTATTGCTTATCTTTTTTTGAAAAAAATCCTTATACAATTTTAGTAAGCTCTTGACAAATAATTAATAGTGCTGCACTTCTTCCAAATTCAATCTAGAGAAGGGTAAGACAGAGAAATTTGAAGTCATTTTTTGGGAGTCCCTGTTGCCTTTGTTAACTTTGATGAGCACTTGGCTCTAACAGATGGTTTAAATACTGAAAATGTTGGAGATGCAGTAATCCCAGGTTTGCTCAGCTTCAGGTTAAAATTTACTTTCAAATGTTTCTTCTCATAATCTCATCAGCTCAACTGTAACTGAAACTCAGGTGGTAAAACCATACAGGGAAGTAGTTGGAAATCCTCGATCTACGACTTAAAAAATTATTAACCCTATCCTCAAAGTATCTCTAAATGCTCTCACTGCACAAAATAATTTTGTCTTTGATTTCTCTGCACCAAGAATTGCTGTCAAATAATTAGGTATAGCATGAATTAGAATAAATTAAGAAAATGGCAACTATATTTGTACTTTACTCAGAAGTTTCGACAAGCTTTTTTCAGTGAAAGGGGACATGAATCTGTTGCTGTTCTTCCTTGCTTTATTAAACTGAGCGGTGTGCTGTTCACCTGTCTGGCTAGACTGCACCCATACCCATGGAGAAAGCTAGAGCTGCCTTAACGCTTGTCTGCAGAAAGCACAGCCTCTGGTGACGAGTTGAGTTGAATTGATTGGCATCACTATTTAGAAGTGAAGGATCTAGTATGTCCTGGAGGAACCAGGATGAATTTTAGTTTTTAGGAAAATGTGGTCAGATAGCATAAGTGAGTCAACCCATCTGCAGAGGCTCGCAGACACATTTCACTGTCCTGTTGGTCTGGCCTGGGTGTGGCCAGCTTCCTTAGGGTAGAATGAGTTAGTTAACCTAACTAAGGAGTCCTAGCATGGTTTCTGCTGGGGAGCGGCGGGAGTGATTACAATTGATTGGGAAGACAAGGCAATCAGTAGGCAACATAAAAACCGAGATAGTACATTGACTAGTTAAAAGAATACATTGCAAGATTCTAGGATTAAATTGGTAAATGGAATTAGACCATAAGGATTTTTCCAAAGGATGGGAAATGTGACTTGAAACAACAGAAAAGTCAAGAATCTCATCTGTAGTACAACTTCAACACACAATTTGAGGCTGGGAAAGTCAAGACTACACCGTGTTGTACGTAGAATGCGTATCATGAAGCAAGCTTGGGGATAAACGGTAAGAGCTGGGATACAGCAAGAGACCAACAGGGCAGGCCTAATTGGATGGAAAGCCATGGAGGCCAGTCTGAAATGTGCATAATTTCCAAATATCTAGCTATTCTGGATCAGAAACAGCTGGAGAGCTGTTTTTTTTTTTTCTCATTTTCTCACCTTAACCTCTGGAGATTTTTGACTTGATAGATCTCTTCTAGAACCCAGGAATCTATATTAAAACAAAAACCTCTCCAGGTGATTCTGATTGTAGCCACACAGCCATTCCTGGGATTAGGAATCGCTGGCCTGGAGGATGTCCAAGTGTCTTGGGAGATGATTGGAGGGCCGTACAAAGTAGTGATAGGTTGTAGTTAACAGGTGTGGAAAATTGTGGCTCTCTATAGAATGGTGTGGGGATGGGGAGCAGCTGGAAGTAAGCAATAAGAGGGAACTACTGTATAGTTCACAAGTAGGGAAACAAGGTCTTTGGCTGCAGGGACAAGAAGAAAAATAAACTCATACCTTGTTATGAAGGAAACCACTGGAGAGCACAAAGGACTGTTGGTCTTAATGTTTTGAAATCTCCAATCAACTTTTAAACGTAAGTTGGCCTCGTGACAAAATTACTGAAATATTTTAGCTTTGTCTAATAGTCCTTGCTTTAGAAAAAAAAAGCTTTGATGAGCAGCTTTTGGTTCAGTGTATACATTCCTCAGCACACATGATTATATCATTAAGTCACCCAATTTTTTGAACAAAAGCTGCTGGGGTGGGGACATGTGTCATTTCCTGCCCTTCCCAGAGCTGGTTATTGCTAGAATTTATTACAGTTTGCTCTGAGCCAGGAGAAAGTCTTTATCTCCAGAAATATCTCCCACCAGATGCTTTCCTTAGTTTCCTTGCAGAGAAGTGTGTAGGTGAGGGAGTGGAAGCAGAGAAACTTATGGTTTATATGCAGGTCAGTCCAAATTTGTGCTCAAATACAGTGTAATCCAACAAATGTCTACTGGCCTGGAAGGCATGCATGCACATCAATTTAGTCAAAAACAACTTGCACAGTCCCACCCAAAACATTGTGACCCCTCTTATTTTTGTATCCTTAGACTCCTCAAGCCAGTATGTGGGTCTGGTTGCAGCTAATATACATCCACCACCACCAAAAAAACAGTAACAAACAAAACAACTCTAGACCAAAAGTTCTTTTGAAACTTCAACTCAGAGAAAATAGGAAGAAGAAGCAAAGGCTTTTGTGTTTGCTTTAGGTCTGCTCCCTAGACAATATTTTGCTGCCTGCCTGTGTGCCTTTATGCAACAAACCTTTATTGAGTGCCTGCTGCAAACCAAGACTTTATCTAGGGTGTTGGGAATTCAACAGTGAATGAAAAGAAGCACATAGCTCTTGGAGTCTCAGTTCTGTTCTTTGGGCACCTATAATTCTTAAGTGCAAGATCTCACATGAAATTTGATCAAATCAACTGGTAGAAGAGTAAAAACAGGTAAGGGACAAGTGGGAATTTCAATTCCCTGGTAAACAACAATGTTTAAATGTTAGTTTGGAAAAATGCCCGAGAAGAGGCTGATTTGGCGTGAGTGAGTGTAAATTAGGAAAATGCCCGATTTCATGCAGTAGCAGGTGGCCCTCTAAAACGTTGAAGACACTGGCATCAAGAGCATGGGCACATGGTGATTTACATGAGTTCCTGTAGCCTTCGCTTCTTTACTTCTTTCCTTGAAGTCTCCGCCTGTAGTGATGGTAGGAAAATAGAGCTTCTGGAGTCAGAATGCCACAGGGTGAATCCAGGCTGCTTTGCTTATGAGCGGTGTAACTTAGAACAAGTTGTTTAAACTCCCTGGACTTTGGTTTTCTCATCTGTTAAATGACAATAGTAATAGCACGTATCCAACAGGGTCTTTGGAAGGATTAAGTGAGTTTTAAACGTATAAAGTGCTTAAAAAGAAAATGAGTCCCTCTTTATGGCCTTTGTCAGGGCTTTTCAACTAAATTGAGGGGTTTTTTTAATTAAAAAAATTTTTTTGATGGGGAGAATTAGGGATTGATTGATTGACTGATTGATTGATTCATTTATTTATCTTTAATGGAGGTACTGGAGATTGAAGCCAGGACCTTGTGCATGCTAGGCATGCGCTCTACCACTGAGCTATATCCTCCCATCTAGACTGAGGTTTAATATAATTTTTGAAGTGAATTACCACCTCCCCAGACTTGCACACAAGAGCAGCTAATGAGTTATCAGGCTCTTACCCAGATTTTTCTGTTAGCACATCTGTTCCTAGGCCTGCTGAGCTTTGAGGTCTCCCTCAGGAGTTTGCTCCTGAACACCAAGCAGAGTTTTGAGCATTTCTTAGAGGTGTTCAGAGGTGTATTTGACCTGGTACAGTATTAGGCAATTAGGATATTCTTCAGTTCACTATCTTGTAAGACTTACGCTGAATAAGAATAGATGTTCTCAGCTTTCTGAAAAATTGTGCCCTATGGCTAAACTTATGTTGTTCTTGAATTATTTAAAAAAGGACTCCAAGCACTAGATTGCTTGTCTTTTCACAGGGGAT